ATATCATCTTTTTTTCTTTCTTTCTTATTGAAAAAAGTTGCCAACAGTCCGGAAAAATTTCGGACTTTACAATCTCTAGTCTAGAGTCTAGTTCTAAAGAGGTTCAGTAGGGTCCAGGCGGGCCGCCTACGCCTCGGCCTCACCTCCACTCCACACAGCATCCCGGCCGTGGACCGGCCCGTCGCGCACGGGAGCGCGGCGGACTGCCTACCCCACGCTTCACAGGCGCTCGGCGGGCCCCGGCTCGGGAGAGAGGAGTGCCAAGGGAGATGGAGTTATTTCAGGCAGCCGACTGAGCGGAGCAGCAGAGGACAGCGGAGACAAGTGGGAGGGGGGGGGGAGGGAGTCCCACACTACTTCACGAAATGCCAATTAGTCCATTCTGCTTGTATACGTACGGCATACGCCCACACGCGCCAATCCAAAGCAGGCATCTGTCACAGACATTGTGTTCCGTAACCACAATACAGAACCTGGCGCTGCTTTCTTGGAAGAGAAGAGCTACACTTCAATTACTAATTACCACTGTAAACATATACTGTACTTCAGCAAAGCGACGTCACTCATGATGTAATACCCAGGTCGCTGCGAAGGTGTTTTAATTGTGTAAGACAGGTGATATTTTTTTTCCACCATGCAATGGCTGTTTAGGTGACGGACGGCTGGGACTACCAGAACCAGTACCTGCCCCAGACCCACGACCACCCCAAGCCCGACGGCGAGAGGCATACCAGCCTCTGCGGCGTGGAGCACACGCAGGTGTTCGAGGCGTCGCAGAACGCCGCACAGGTGTCGTACATCCTGCCGGCCGGCGGCAGGTTCGCCGTCTCCGTCCGGTTCGTCCGCAACACCAGCCGTAAGCATCCGCCATCAAATTGTCTTTCTCTTACTTTTCTTTTATGAGAGGGGGTGTAAGATATTCTTTTTTTCTGTGTAGTGAGTTTCCCTGCACTTGGGAAAGACGTTCTTGAATACCTAAAATTTTTAGTATTACGGAGGGAGAAGGGGGAGTGTTCCATACACTAAGATGACATGTGAGGGGAAAAGGGTGCGTGTCTCTAGCCCCCTCCCCCCTCCCAGCACTCAGGCGCCCCACCGCGGTGGCCACCGCAGCGGTGCCCTTTCGCGGCGTCGATTGACAATTCCACCCCTGATGAAGCAGAGGGTAGGAACGGGAAAGGGGTAGACAGAAGGGCGGTTCAAGGTGGGAGTAGCAGCACCATGTGTATAGGATTTTAACTTTACAGAAAAGTATTCTTGGAAAAAAAAATCAATTATTTTAATTTCATTTTTAATAGTTTTTCTTGAAAAATTTCCCCTTTTTTTTTCAAAAAATTTCTAGAAAAAGAAACTATGGTTTTCTGGAAAACTTTCGAACAGTACAGTACAGCCGGGAAGTAACTACGAGTCACATTGTGGCGTGGCCTTAACACAACGCGGCGTTTCTGCCCGATGCTCTTTCGCAGCGTGCAGCGTGCTGTCGGAGGGCAACGAGGTCATCACGCTGCGAAACTTCGGCAAGCGGCGCAACTGCACGGTGACGACCATCTTCCCGTCCGAACTGCGCATCCTGCAGCTGCAGGTGGGCGTCAACGAGAAGCACCCCAACATGGAGCCCGAGACCGGCACCATCCACAAGGTGAGTATCGTCGCGCGGTGCGCGGCCAATGTTTTTTGTGAGCGTGTTGTTGGTCAAGGGAGGGGAGGGGGAGGGGCAGTTGTTTAATCTCCAGAGTGTGTATCCGGAGGGCAAGGGGGTGAGGGAACACACACGCGGGCGTACGCGGAGGTGGAAGCAACAACACGGCGCTGCCCTTTGTGCGTGCTGATCGGGCGGCGCGCATTAAGCATGCATGGCGGCCCGCGGGCACGAGGCGGCCGCCGCCAACGCCTTCCTGGACGTCGGGGCCCCGGGGGGTCAGGGGGCGTCCCATGTGGCAGCGCCATACGGAGATCGCGGAATATTTCGGCCCAGAGGTATAGGAGGGACACTGTGAGTGGCCCGTGGGAGGGGCCGCGAGCGCTCCGGAGGACCCCCCGGCGTGTAGTAAAGAGACAAAGTAGGTAGGACCTCTATGGTGACAGAAGGGGTGGTCCAATGCGACGCCCCTCGAGTGCGCAACACGGACTGGGACTGGGCTGGGTCGGGCCGGGCGCCATTCTGACGTCCGGGGGAGCGGGGTTCGACTTCGGTCCGCCCACGCAGTACAGGGTGTAAAGCAAAGGGTGCTCGCCGAAAAATTGAGTACACCGAAATAACAAAGGTGCTAAGTCGTGCCTTCCCAGGGGTGCTAAAGAAATTTTGAGTTTAGTGCCTTCATAAAGGCACTAAAGAACCCCAAAGATGCTAAAAATTTAGTAGTGCCTTTGGCCGTTTTAGCGCCTTTGCCAAAGCACTAAACCTGCCTTAGGACTAGATAGGGCTCGGCACCTTTGTTTTCCCAGTGTGAGGCCAATCAATTTCATAGGGTGAACAATACACTGTGATATTTTTTGTTTCCTGTTTTCAGTGTGAGAAGCGAGGTTTGGACGACTTCGTGCAGGTCACGGGCTTGGGCTTTGCGACCGAACTAGCGGCGCCCGTCACGGTATTCGGATCGGTGTGCGGGCTAGACACGAGCGCCGGTGAGTCTGTTCGCCAAAGCGCAATTTATCGTGAATTTTTTTTTAGAAAAACGAACACAAATCAATTGTAGCCTTACAAGTTATTGGAAAAAAGTTTTAAAAAAAAATGATATATGTAACAAGAAACATAGAGTTGTAGAAAAAATCAGAAGAATAATAATTTTGACTGTTGGTTGTTAGGCCGACCCATGAGCGTGCTCTGCGGCGCCCTCAACGTGCGCCTCGTGTCGAGCGGCCGCTACGACAACGCCGTCACGGTCTACCTGAAGCGGCTGGAGACGGAGGACGAGCAGCTGGGCGCCGACTACTTCTGCGACGCCGGGCTCTGAGCCGTCCCACGAGGAGACAGAGAGGTACAAAGTGAACGAATCTGACAAATCTGGTATTTAACGATATCACGAGGCCAGAAACGATATATGCCAGCATTGTCTCGACGCGTGTCGCTTTGGCGCGGAGAAGTAGCGGCGCGGGCGATGCGGCGGCCTGCGCACTGAACCGCGCACACCGCCCGATTGGTCGCGGACTCCCTGAGAGCGAACGTAACACGCCGCCCGTCTTGTGTTTTTGCGTTCCGTCAGATTCTTCTGCATCGCCTTCCGCCTGCCTCTCCGCCGCCGCGCTGGCCCGCTCCTCCTTAACCACGTGACCGTCCTGCTGGAGCCTGGCGGTCCTCCCCTCCCGCGCTACCGCAGCCACTTCTCTACTCCACATCACTCACCGCATCTTCATCCGGAGACGACCGCGGCCTCCGTCTCGACACCTCTCGCGATCTTCAAAACGACGTACACGGCCTCTTAGTGAGTCCCCCGCCCCCTAGCCTCAGCCTCAGCGTACGGCATACCATTCATTTTAAAAAGAGAAACAAAAAAAAAACAGTGGCCTGTGAAGGTTGCGAACTATCTTATATCTTCAAAGGGCAAGTCGCGCTGCCATCCGGCGGGTCTTGTGTGATTTATTATAATTGTGAGCGTCACCCGAACGAGATCGTATGTCAATTAGGTATTTTCCTTTCTCTTGTGTTTGGTTTGATATTGGTATTGCAATTGTACAAATAAGTAAACCCCGGAAGTTTCGTAAGTTTCTCCCCTGTTGTTCGAGGCACCGAATGTCGTGTGTCGCTTGTAGCAAACGTTGTTTTCTTCCTGTTCACGAAAGCTTGAGTAGACACCATGTCTAGTTTAACGAAGCCAAAACTGTTCTATTTTTATTACAAAATCTTTCGAATATTGGTTGTGTGTGTGAGAGTAGTTGGGCAGTCACCGCAAAGAAAATGTGGGGCAAAGAGAAAAACGAAAAAAATAAAAAATAAAAATTAACAAGGGTTACGTAAAGCAACTCACTCCACATCGCAATACTGAGGAAACCTAGATTAGAGCCTCACACTCCAAGTCGGAGTATGACGACTGTACTCATTAAATTCATCCTCATTCTTCTGAGGTCTTTTATGTTTCTATGTAAGTTATTGAATGAATAATAAAAAAACCCTCCTCTAATTACACCAAAGAGACCTATGTAAAATACTCCTCCTTTCAGTATACCGACGTAGTTATAGTCATCTCGTTATGTTTGTAATTAGTTTAGCCGCCAAGTATTTAAAAGAAAATGTTTCATGCGTTGACCCAGTTTTCCATCTTCTTTATTTCTGTTCAAAACCACCACGTACTTGAAAACAAAAAATGACACAATTAAAGAAATTTTGACTGTACTGCCTATTTTGTATTGTATTTGAAAAACAAAGAAGAGATTCCCTCGCCTTTACAAGAGCTGGTCCTATGCATTCATCTACGCACCTCACTGCCCGTCCGCCCACACAAAAATACAACAAAAAACACCCGTATGCCAAGTTTCTATCCAAAGACTGCCGACAAGAGCTATTACATATGCAAAAGACAAAGGCGTTGTTCGCGGAGACATGGCATTCGCAAAAATGCTTTTTAAAATCAGCGGACGACGGGCAGGAGCCCCTCCCCCGCTGTCCGCTGCTCACGATGTAAATACAACTGAAATTTAAATCAAGGGCACGGAGCGGACGGAAGGCTGCGAGCGAGATTTTAGCATGGAGTCGGGTCTCCGACGCACGCCACGCCAAACCCACCACCGAAACGGGGGCTTCAGGGGCTCTGCCGGCCGCTCCGCTCTCCCCAGCAGAGCGCCTTCTACGCCTACCCTCCCCATCAGCCCCCCACCCCCTCCACATTGCCACCCCTCTTTTCCACTCGCTTATCCGCTATGCATTAAAAGAAAATTGTGTTTTCGACATTTGGTATTTGGTAGAGCCGGTAGAGCCTCACTTATCGACTTTCGCTTCCCTCTGTGCGCGCAATCCACATTCCATTTCACATGTGCGGCTCCAAAGGGCGCATGTCGGCTAGCGGGTGGGAGGTGGTGTGAAACAGGATCAAGGGGCGGAGATGACGAACGATTGCGCGCGTACAAGTGTCACCAAGCGCTTTTACAACCGCTGGAAAATATTCAAATGCTTACAGAGGAAGTGCATGAAGTTTCGAAACGTTTCATGAAACATTTCCACTAAACTGTGGCACTTCCCTGACAATTTGCCATATTTTCTATCATGCACTGTGGGTTTTCGAATACTTTCGTGGAGAGGGGGGGACTGCTCCGAAATAAAAGCCATTCTGCAGCTCTTCCTCGTCGTGCTCGCTTTTGTGCTTTGGTCACGGCGCTGCTGCGGCCGCGCTGCGCTGTGCTGAGCTGGCTGAGCCCGGTCCTCGGCCTCGGCTGCAGCTCAGCACATATAAGTGGCGCTGCGGTCCGCGGGGCCCTTTAGTCCGACCCGAGCCGTGTGTAGTGGTGCGTGCGAGCGAGTTCGAGCGCGTGTGTGAGTGAGCGCGCGCGCGTGTGAGAGAGTGAGTGCGAGAGTGCGCGTGCAGAGTGCAGCAGTGTGGCTCGAGCGTGCGAGCGAGAGAGGCCATGGAGTCCCGCACGGCGGTCCTGATGCTCGCCCTGTTACACGCCGCAGGTAAGCACTCGGCCAGCAAAAGGCGACCACTTTCACTTTGAGGACCCGCCGGCCCGTGGCGGGGCTGGGGCGGGGTAGGGTGGAACAGCCGCCGCCAGACGACGAGGCCCCCGCACCCTGCACCCGGACCACCCCGTCTACAACAAACGTGACGAAAACGACGGTGATAGCTTCGGGTCATTGGTGCTAGTTTAACAACGGGAATGTTTCAGTAACGATTTGAGACAAACATTACTTTAAAATTCTTACAAACAAACTAAGCTTGCGAAGCACGAAAAAAATCGTAAGACTGGATTGTATTCAAAGAAACATTTTTTTATTTTTTGGTGTACGGCTGGGATTTTGCGCGAAAAATATATCAATAATAAGGTCGGTCTCCCACCCCACCATCACAGGCCTGTCCGCGGCCCTACCGACCGTCGGGGTCGACCACATCCAGCAGAGGGCCGACTGCAAGGACATCTGCGAAGGCATTAGCGGACTGGACACCTTCTTCGACGGCGAGTGCTTCTGTGTCCTGGACCATGGTACGTTTGCTGAGAGATTGCTCAACTTGGTTAACCAAACTAGGGCGAGATCAAATAGACCAAATACGTTTCCAAGTTTTCTTGAAAAGAAAAATATTGCAAAAATTCCCTGAGAGAGATTGAGTGGACGGAAACAAGGAATGAGGGCGTGCCGCGGAGAGCGTCGACCTGGTGGCGTCTGCCTGACCGGCCTCAATAGCGAGACGGGCGCCGCCGCTGTGTACATTGCGTGCATGTGTGTTAGTGCGAGAGTGTGTGTGTGTGTGTGTGTCACGCACGCGCGCGCACATACCCACACGGGCTGGTTTTAATGTGCGCCCTATCCTAACATTGTCCCGTTAATGGCGCTGACATTGATCGGCGCAACATTGCATCCGCCCACAAAATTTGCCTCCTTCCACTGAAAGGAAATCGATTAGCTGTATTAGCCTAAGGAAGATATACTGTCTCAGCTGAATTTTAGCAGCCCTATCAAAACGATGCCTGATTTTTTGAGATAAACTTTCATACTTTGAGGAAAATCTTCTCAAAAAGTGGGGTGAATACCCAAATTTTTTGGGGGAGACTTCCTCAAAATCCGAACATTTTCCTCAAACTATACAAGTTTCCCAAAGTTCAAGACATTATTTTTACCGTGTAGAAAGCACACGAGCTACGTCAGCAAACACCAACGTGTCTGATTCAGCTAAACATTAGCTGAGAGCTAATATTCTTACCTAAGGCCGTATGAGCTTATTAGCGTATTATTTGGCTATTTCTAGCGAAGCTTCTTTTAAAAGAAATTCCTGTTATGTCATGTTTTATGGACGGGGCCTGCAAAGTTAGTAAAGCTATACGCCCATTCGACGTGGATGTGAGCCAGTTCCTTGTGTTTCTCCAGCCCCAACGCCGTTCGAGATGCCCCAGGTGGAGAGGGCGATTGAGCTCGGCAAGGACTGCGGGGTCGACGTCATCACCAGCGTCGTCGGCTACGACAAGACCTCCAACCGGGAAGAGCGCTGCATGATGGGAGTCACCTCAGAGCTCCGCGCGCGCGCTGCCAGAGGTGAGAGGGAGCGGAGGGAGGGAGGGAGGGGCTGGGGGTAGTACGAGACA